GATGGCATAGTAGAACTTTATATTTGCCTTATCTTGTTTTCCTCTGGATTACAGTGGTTGAATTTACAAGCATAATGATATTTTTTCTAACTGCCAACTCACTATGAGGGTAATCCAGTTCTTCTGATAGTCAAGCTGTGTTCTTTCTGACTGGTGCATTTTGTTCAGTAATGAGAATTCCACCAGCCAAATCCTGCCCTTAATTAGACCTCTGTTATCCTGTTGCTTCCTAATTCTGCCCTTGGTGACATCTGTGTGGCTCATCTTTTGTCAGTGGGGCTACCAGGTGTGTGAACAAAACCAGAGCCAGTGGATAATTCTGATGGTAATGACCTAATTCCATAGTCAAAACAGTTTAGCTGCTGGGAAAACAGAAGCAGAACAGAAAATAGAACTTGAATAGATTTTTAATTTGTCAGTGCTCTACAGATTGGGGTGGCGGTAGTTAAGAAGTAGATTCAAATCAGGGAACAAAATCATTCTACTTCAGACACAGTTGTCATGCTGTGCTGGGCAGTATCCAATTCTCAAGCTCAAGACAAATTATATGTTAAGATAAACACAAGGCTGCTTCCAAAAATGACAATTCCATACCAACTCTCCCATTTAAAATGTACAATAAAACTGTAATATCATGACATTACACATTTTCCCCAATGGCACTCTACATTGGTGACTGATTACCATGATAAGGAAGCACTTGTTAAATTTTACTGTTTCTTAGGAGGGAAGAATGGGGAAGAATGACAGACGCTGACCTGATTGATCTGAACTCAAATTTCTCACGTAAACAAAATCTCAGAAAAGTGATCCAACTCTACCCAAATTGTTGGAAAACTTCAAGTTCCCATTTTGAAGCATACTCCATCATGGTGAACTGATGGAAATTTTTAATTGGAACTGTGGATTCAATTCACATATTTTCAGACAATAAAATGGGCTTTGACTGTATTGTTTCCAAGTCTTGTCGCATAGCCCAAGATTTCCTATGTTAATAGGATGAGATAAGAATATAGATTTAATTTGGACAAAGTGGCATAAATATCTTTGAAGAGAATGACCTGAGAAATTTCTGGAAAATTTTACTACCCATTTTCTTGAGTTGTTGTCAGATTCTTCCTCTCCAGAGAATATTGCCCTGCAGCACACCAAACTCTTTTAAAAGTGAAAAGAAGAAAAAGAAATGATGCTGGTTCCATTGGCTGAAAATGGGGGAGGACGAGGGGGGTTAATAATTTAAGCTTATGTAGATTTATATAACATGCTAGTAGTAGATCTTGCCAATCTATGCCTTGCAGGCCACAAAGAAAGTGTATTCCGAATTAACAGTGAACCAGATGTTTGGTTTGAAAGATGTCTGTGATAAAAAGACAGTGAGACCCAAAAAAAAAAAAAGGCAATGTTCATGATGGTTAGAATAATATAGAAATGGGAGGAGGACAGCTTA